TCCAACCATAACATAAAATAAATTAAACAAAAGCCCAATTCTATTATAACAATGTTTAAAAGCCCTACTCTATTAAACTTATAGCCAAACAACATTAAACTCTTTATTACTACTATTTAAGTTTCCAAACAAACCTAAAGAGTATTACAACTTTAATAAGATAAATAAAAGCCCTACTCTATTAAACTTATAGCCAAACAACATTAAACTCTTTATTACTACTATTTAAGTTTCCAAACAAACCTAAAGAGTACTACAACTTTAATAAGATAGATATCTCGCCACCGATAAGCTTGTGCCAACTGAATTTCAAATTAAATGGAATATGGTATGTTTAGGTTGTTAGATCTCATGAAGATTATAATAAATAAAAAAGTCCACAGAAGAATATTTTATTTTACATACCCAGTGGTTTAACAGTTTTATACAGCTAGGAATATGCTTTTTCCATCCAGATAACTAGGAATATGCTTAGCAGATAACACGAAAATGTTTATAAAAATTAATGGATGACTGATTATCGTAAATTTACAATAGATTTATTATGTTTAGTAAAGTAAATAAAGGGATTTGAAGAAAGAACTTTGGCAAGATTCTACTCTTGTGTTGTCTCTTCCTGATACACATGATCTGACTCTATGGAATCCGGTGATTAATAAATTGCTATAGTACTAGCTTTGCAGGAAATTTATATTTATTTTTGTAATGACGTATTTTTACGTACGATAGGGAGAAAAATCAGGATACTTGCAGGAAGTTGTATTTAGTCTCTGGTCAAATATTAAACGTTTCTCATATTGTAAACCATTTAATATTAGTGTGGTTAATAAACTTACAAACATGTAAAATTGACTCAAAAATTCATAAATTGAAGCTTCCGAAAATCATTAATGGGAAAGAAATTATTTTTTTCCGAATGCTCCAAAATAATTAAGACTTCAAAGCCATTCAAAGAAGAGAACCACTCAGGTGATTAATTGAAAATAACTCCAGGTCAATTTCCACATCAGCAATCAATACACGTGGACCAATAATATTTATACATGGAACAGTAAAAGTGCGGATTCACGCGGTATTTAAGAAATGGAATAATAATTTATTTAAAATCCAATCCCGAAATTAACTCTTTTGTTCTGACAGCAACCAATAGGTTTCGTGTAGTGAGAGGATGCTTACTCCACGTGTCGTTGATAAAAAAAAAAAAAAACTTATTGGGTAAAGAAGTTAGAAAAGCGACCGGCTTCAGCGGGTAAAACAAATATCCTACAACCGCTACAGCCGGTTGTGTGGTAAATATTTTTTTTTTTGAGAAATAATAAATGGGGGGTTTAAGCCTTTTTGTTTCCGGTTTGTGGTTTCTTTTCAAAGGGTTTTATGTCTTGTTCGTTGGTAAGAAGGTGACGAGTAAAAAAAAAACGAAAAAACAAAAAAAAACAGAGGTTTGATCGCAAAAGTCCTAAAGGTTTCGACTTTCAATTTCATTGTAAGTTTTTTTTGCGTTGTATAGCAGTTTGTTCTGAATCAGTTTCACGATGATGTCTTTTTTTTTTTAAACTGGGTAATTCGTTTTTTTTCTTCTTCTCTAGTTTGCGTGATCTATAATCAACTGGAGCAGAGATTGTGATCCAGGGTTTATCTTCCTGATTTGGTTAGTTTCCTTCGTCTCGATTCTGTTTCTCATGGTTTTGGTTAATTCTGATCGTAAATTATTCGAATCTGACGTCAAAAATCTCCAACTTTCGAATCAGAAAGTTTCATTTTTTTTCTTATCAAGATCTGTTTTTTTTTTTTTTTTGTTTCTACGTAAATTTTTAAAAGGTTGTGGCATTTAGGATTTTGGTGATAAAGAAAGGTTCGTTGTTAATCTGATCTGTACATCCTGTTTTTTTTTTTTTTTTTGCATCTTACCTTAAACATTCAAAAATCTATAGACTAATGAGTTTCACACTTGTATCAAAATTATATACTTTAAATTTTGGTGGAGGTGATCTCAAAGTTTTTTTTTTTTTTGAATCTTTGCAGCTTTGGTGTTTTGGTATATGCATAATTGAGAGAGATGGTGGTCAAGAGGAGGTTAAATTGTGGCTTTGATTTCTCCAGTATTCCCAAGGCTCCTCGTTCTAGCAGGGTATAATAATATTAATTAGTTTAGTTTCTCAATGTTTTTTTTTTCCCTTTTTAGTTGGTATCTGATGGCTTTGTGGTTTGCTGTTTTATAGAGGAAGGTATCAAGTAAGACAGATGATGTCAGCGCAATTGATCTGCTCGCTTCTCTTGCTGGAAAGTTGTTAGAAGAAAGTGAAAGTTCCTCAAACTCTACCAATGCATTCGAAGGGTTTAGTCATCAGGATGGGAAGATGAAGCAAGAACATGTCTATAACCATAATAAGCCTTGTAAATCTGACTTCTCTCATCAAGCAAACCTTGCCTCTTCAAAGTCCCCTAGTGAAAACACTAGCGACGTCTCTTTGGAAAATGGTTGCGTTTTGGAGCAGACACCGGTTTCTGATTGTAAGAGCGCTGGTGGTGTGAACCTCCTTGTAGGGTGTGTAAATAAGAAAGAGGATTGTGAGTTTCATGTTGAATCAGGGGGAGTCACTGAGGAGACAGGTGTTGTTAATGTAGATGACGGTGGCTTAATCGCTGATACTTTCAGCTTAAAGGATCCAAGTCAGTTGCCTGTGCAGTCAGTCCCTAATGGATATAGGAATCGTTCTAAGTTAGTTTGTAGAGATGATGACGAAAACTATTGTAAGTACTATAAATTCAGTGACAAATGTAATAAGTCGTACAGGCCTTTGACATGGTCTGGTGGACATCGAAGAATCAAGAAGTCGGTGGTTACAAAATACGGGAGAGCACTCCCTAAGTCCAAGTGTTTTGAAGACACCAAAACAGGTTAGTATCCAAATTTTACTGTGTTTCTTTTTAGCTGCTGCTCACTTCTTACACTGCTTGTTGATATCTGTGTAGATGGTTGTTTAAAGGCTCTGCACCGCAAGAGAAAACTATGTTATGGTTACAACCCATGGAAGCATGAGACCGTTCATAGGAAGAGAAGATTGTCTGACAAAGGATTGGTTGTAAATTCTGATGGAGGACTCAGTAGTGAAAGTGTTACCAATTCACCTGAAAAGGGAGAATCAGGTACGTGTGAATCTATATTCAGATGCTTCCTTATCTGGCTTGGATGGTTTTGATTTAATGATTTTCTTTTGTTACAGAAAATGGTGTTCTCTCTACCGCAATAGGTCTTCCTTCAGAGGACTCACTTGGTACTTGACCAGTTCATAAATCACACAGATCTTTTGACCGTCACATAGTATGCGGATCTAATGTTATTTTCATTGTTTTGCAGTAAAGTTCAGCATCAAGTCCCTTAGGATTCCTGAGCTTTTTATAGAAGTTCCAGAAACAGCAACAGTAGGCTCACTGAAGGTATGTGATTAAATGTCTTTCACTTCTGCAGTGTACATGAAGTGTTTATTTCAGAACATTAGTTGTGATACTGAATACTTTTGGGTTACAGAGGACGGTGATGGAGGCTGTCACTGCTTTACTAGATGATGGAATAAGTATAGGGGTGTTAGTCCAAGGGAAGAAGGTTAGAGATGACAACAACACTCTATCACAGACTGGTTTTTCTTGTAGAGAGAATCTAAGCAACCTAGGCTTCACCTTGGAGCCTGGTCCGGAGAAACTTGGTGTACCTCTTCGCTCTGAAAATCATGTCATGTCTAAGCCAACTGATTCCACAAAGTTGCCAGAAAGGTAGTAACCAATTTGCTCGTATACCTCTTCTTTCCTTTTCTGCTACAAGGTTTACTTCTGTGCATGGATAAATGTGAAGTTCAATGGAATGTTCCTAAGAAATTCGTTTGATCTTCACAGGTCCGCAGATTCTTTAGCGTGTGCAGATTACGTGATTAATTCGACAAACTGTGTGGAGAACAAACAAGAGTTACTACCATGTCAGATTGATGAACAAAAACCTTCATCAGATTCAAGAGCGCTGGTTCCAGTTTCAGCCTTGGAACCAGAAGCTCTTGCTATTGTCCCATTTAACGAGAAACCTAAGCGCACAGAAGCTTCACAGCGCAGAACCAGGAGACCATTCTCTGTTACAGAGGTAGAAGCTTTAGTACATGCAGTTGAGGAACTTGGGACTGGAAGGTAAGCTTAAAAATAATGGTTTAATACTGATTAACTTGTTTTGTGGTCTCAACTAATGATCGTTACTCTTTAATCCCACAGATGGCGTGATGTGAAACTGACTTCTTTTGATAATGCAAGTCATCGAACCTACGTGGACTTGAAGGTAAAACACTCAGCAGAAACCAACTAGTCATGTACACTTTGAAGGTTCTTCCACTAACTTTATGATTTATTACAGGACAAATGGAAAACTCTTGTTCACACGGCAAGTATTTCACCGCAGCAACGAAGAGGAGAGCCAGTGCCACAAGAACTGCTAGATAGAGTCTTGGCAGCACATAGGTATTGGTCACAGCACCAAGTTAAACAGAACGGGAAACATCAAGCGGCTGCAACTATAGTGATTGAATCAGGTCCATCCATGTAAAGAAGGAGAAGGTATTACAATGACTTTCACTTGAAGACAAAGGAAGCAACGTGGGCAACTGTACAAAGAGCATAACAACAGATGCATATCTTTTTTATTTTTCATTTTTTTTTCCAACTTGAGATTTTTAATCATAGCTGGCAGAAACAAGACATTTGTTCATTTCAGTTTCTAATTGATTTGATTCTGTAATATGGTATATTGGTTGGTAGGTTCTTGAAGACATTCTTTTATTTATTTTTTGTAATATCGTCATGTAATTTAAACAAATTCTTTTATGCCTGTTCATCGTTCAAATTTCAATCTATGGTACATTAACTTCTTTTTTTCTTTAAACTGAAAGTACCTTCTTATCTTCGTTAGGTGATGATTTCATCAAATCCGTATTTTTCTTATCCTGATTACAAGTTATGAAGTCTGTAGAGCATCTTTATGGGGGTAGTTCGGAGGAATTTTAGGGGGAAAAAGTAAACTCCGAATTTTAGGGGGAAAAAGTAAGTTAGTCCTAGGTAAAAGAGAAAAAACGTTGTCTTTTGTCACGAAATAAGGAACGTGTGTTGTTGGTTTTTCACACTGTTCTACGGGTTCCACAATACATGGCGAACCGTGATTGTATGTCTTTTTTGTTTTTTTTTAAATCGGTCAAAAAAAAAAAAAACTGAACACACGTTTTGCGATAAAGATGCTCTTACTCTTCGTTTCATAACACTTTTTTGATTAATCTATATGCTTTTCCTGAACAAATAGTCTATAACCATCTTTTATTGAGCAATGCATTCACCTACTCTCTCTATCTTTGGAATGAGAAAATCTCTGGTCAAATCCACTTATTGATTTCCATGCTTACTACCAGTTGAGGGTGTTGCAAATTAATTTGTATCCGAGGGCCTTCTCATCTTCTATCGTGAGCCTGTTACTCCAAGCACTCACTTACAGTTTACATGATGACTAGAGAAGGAGCTGTAATATATACACGTTTGTGGTTTATGTGCTCAAGTGCTATACCCAAACATTGATTGCATTTCCACGGAAGAAAACTATTGCATTTCCATTCACACCTTGAATTTGCTTTGAGTTTGAGTCTTCTTTGTATAAGTTGTTAACTGTGGCAAAGTTCCAGTTTTGTTAAACTTCCTTAGGAAAGCTTACCTTGTAAACGTTTGGTATCATTGGAAATACACTCTTATCACTATTTATCTTATGAAAAAGAGATAGGTTCACTCTCTATCTAGTTATATATAGTATCATCATCGCATTAAAACATAGGTCACATATAGTCATAAACTGATAAGCGGAGACGAAACATTAAAAAACAAGTGTTTTATAAGACAATTTAATTAGGAGACAATTACGTATTTGGTGTTCAACCATATATCTTTGTTTGCTACATCAAATATAATCAATCCAATTAGATGGATCAGTACTCTAAATACACTTTTATCAACCATACATCATGGATTGTCCATCGACTTCATCATGAGTTCAAGATAACTAAAACATAAATTAGTTATATAGCTAAAATACACTATCTATGGTTGTGGTTTTAAACCCTGGTTGCGAAAGTCTAAACGGGGGTAAGCAGAACAGCAGGAACGAAGTATATGAACTAGTCCTGATGATCTATCTAGATATGTAAAGTGAATACGTATTGAATTATGTATATATGTATATATCAATCATCTTTACTACACAAAATATAAGAAAATTTTAGTCAAAAATAATAATATAATAAGCAAAAAAACTTCTCCCAACACATTCAAGTTTAGATTCAGATGACATAGGTTTCCCTGTGTTGGACTATAAATTATACTACGTCAAGAACAATCGAAATCATGTTCACAAATTGGTTTAAGAATATTTTATGTACAATGATTATAGAAATATATGGAACTGATATATGTGGTGTTCTTGAATAAGATGTTTAAACTTCTCACTTAAAATCAGTTTTTTGGCAGATAATTGAAATATATAGCAACTCAATGATTCCTTAATCAAATAGCATCCAAGAAAGCTGAAATATTGGTCCTAAATTAAACACACAAATTCAAGACAAGAAAATTTCCTTTTGTCCAAGGCACTTAGGAAATAAACCTTTTTGTTTGATTTTTAATGACTTAAATGATAAGACCATTCACAAAGAGCAGATCATTAGTCGTCAAGGATGATGACCACTGGCTTCTTTTTAGCCAGATCATTTCCAATCTTTGCGAAAACCTGCTCCACTTCGTACCTGAATTTGTACTCTTTCCCCTCTGGATCGTAATAGTACTGCACAAAACACATAGTAGTAGATCTTAGAACCTAAATTTACTATGTAGATCTCATAGTGGCAATGATTTGTTATACTGGAAATCAGTCTATAGCTTAGTTCCACATACCTATAACAAATAAACCACTAATTACCATCACGAAAATATAGATCTAAAGAAAACATTACTCGGTAAAGTCGGCCAGACAACATGATGCGACGCTCCTCCACGAGCCAGCCATTGTAAAGCCATTTGTACTGAGGGTAAGTGTTATCAAAGACAGCTGAGTAGGATCCATAAATTGTGTTCAATGGATTTTTACGTTTTCTTTCTACAATCAAATATGTCTTTCTTCCTTCACTCGACAATTGCACCACACTTTGCTCATAACTGATGACCTCCGTTTTTCTGATCTGCTTTTTTCTGATCTGCGTACGCCTCTTTGGCTGGACTTTAGAACTGCTACCTTCACCCATCTCCATTGATTCTCTTTTTCTTTTTTACCTATCTTGTAATCTTTTTTTGTGTGTGTGATGGTTAATGTCTATATAAAAGGATATTTTATTAGAGTCAAATTACATCTTATCATGTTTGACATGTGTTACTCTGTCATTGCTCCATAAAAAAAATTATATCCTCAAAATATACACATCTATATAAGGGTGTTTTTCCAAAACAAATATTTTCTAATCTTTTTAACCTTAAAACAAAATAATTAGCATCAATTACCCATTAATTAACTGTCTTTTGTGTATTTTTTGTTCAAAAGTAATAATACAAATGATGGAAAAGATCTAGCATATTCTTTGGTAGAATTTAGTACAAGTATTATTACAGTTTTTAATTTGTCTTCAAAAGTAATTAATAAGTTAATAATAAAAATGAAAGAAAAAATCTAGCATTTTTTGGTCAAATCTAGCATTTTTTAAAAAGGTAATAATATCTAGAGGTATTATTAAAAAGTGTTTTGTGTCAAAAGGTAATATTGACTTGTATTTCTTTCTTTTATTTAAAATGTCAAAAACACTCTCAGAAAATCTAAGTTTTCCTTTTCGTTATACAATCAATCTATTGGAAAAGTATATCGGTCATGTTCATATGTCTATGCAGATGCATCATCAAAAAACACATTTTCTGTAAAAATCAAAAATCACATTTTTCGTAAAAATTTGCAAAGCGCTTATTTAGTTAAAATCGTAAAAATTTTGTGTTTTCATAAAAAAATCACAAAACTATATTTTCAGTCAAAGTCGTAAATATACCATGATCGTAAAAATATATTTTCATATAAAAACCACCAAACCACATTTTCTATAAAAACTGTTAAACACATTTTCCACTAAAATCCGAAATCATATATTTCCTCCAAAACTGCAAAAAATATTTTCGACCTAAACCAAAAAATCACATCTTTTTTTTACCAAAAACTCAAAATTCAATTTTTATCAACACCACAAAATATATTTTCATGTCAAAATCGCAAAATAATGTGTTTCTTCTTCAAAGATTGCATTTTTCTGCTAAAACCGCAAAATACATTTTCCACCAAAACCATATCTTGAAATAACTATATTCATATAAACAATAAAAGTTAATACAATTATACATAAAATTAAAAAATATGATTAAACTAAAACATAAGTAATATTAGTCATTTGTTCATAATTAGACTCATTTAGATGGAAATAAAGATGAGCAAGCTAACTAGATAACCATTTAGATAGAACCAATAATCTCAAATAATATCCATATGGATAATTTAAATTAGTTATTGAAATAGATTATTCAATGATCGATGAACAAACGAACAATACAATAACTGAATGAGAAATAAAAACTTCAATAAGGATGGTTAGAGAAAGGTTGAAAAAAGAAGAAGAGATATATTCCACTTTGCTCCCTACAAATCATCGTTAGAAAATGTTTTGTCAAAATGGCAATATGCGGGGAATTTTGAAAATCTATTTTTTGATATGTTGTAAGCTGTAACAAAATATTTTTATAATAATAATATTACTGTACTGTGGGCGCCTTGGTTAAACGTGAAGAGAAGGCGAAGAAAATGGTTTTAATGGCGCCAGAGGGGGAGATGAGTGGGGCGGGAGTGCTTGACTTCTTCTACAGAGAAGCTCAACGTCTTGGCTATGTCGCTCATTCGGTTTTCAAGGTGAATTTACATTCGTTATCTGTCCCAAAGTTTCAGTTTTGTAAATTTCCTTAAGATTAGCTTACCTTGTAAACATTTGGCAAATTATTCAATCTAATTACACTATCTATTTATCTTATATGAGAACAGATAGGTTCACTCTCTATCTAATTATAGTATTAAACAAATTAAAACATAGGTCACATCCCAATGGAGTCATAAGAGGAGGCGAAACACTGAAACACCTAGAAACTGTTTTATAAAACAAAATATGAGACATATATGTTCACCCATCTTCACTAGATCAATATAGTTAAAATCCAATTAGAGGTGGCATTCTAAATACTCTTTTAATTACGCTAGTTTGAAATATATCATAGATTGTGCATCAGCTTTATCAGGAATTCAAAATAACTAAAACATAAATTAGTTATATAGCTAAATACATAATGTGGCTGTGACTTTAAACCCTAGGTTTCATCAGTCATAAACTAGGTATGCAGAAACGAAGTATATGAAAGCCTGATATCTATCTCTATATATAAAGAGAAGCATATTGGATCCGTCATATCATATATCAATCATCTTTAATACACAAACTAGATGATAACCCGCGCGCATGCGCGGAGTGAAATTTTTATACTAATATTTATTCATTAAATGATTTTTAACATTTTGCAATACTACTGTATTTATCGATTATAAAATGATGAATAAAAATGTTGGTATCTTATATCATCATAGGTCTAGATGTTTGAGACTTCGTCGGTTCTGATTTGATTGAGACGTATTTTCAGATTTTGGTATTATTCTTATAAATCTTATTTGAATTTTACTAATTATCAGATTGGATTCTATTTGGTCTTCTCAATTCAGTTTGGATTAGATTGTAACCAATATCTGAAATCATCCCAAAAAATATTTTTCAAACATTAAAAGTTGACAAAAAAATTCAAAATATTTAAACTATTAAGAAATCTGATTTAAAATTAGTTAAATTATCTAAACAAACTAAAAGATATTAAATCAAACAAATAAAAAAAACTACAAAAATCTTTCGAATACTATAATTTGTATCTACTAACTTCAAACATTTTCACTGAAATTGTTAAATTAACATATTTATAATATGAATATCTACTAATGATACTTCATATTCGTACGATTTATGATAATTTGTATCTTGTTTGGAAAAAACAAAGTTAAACCATTGATCATAAAATTTTCAATGTGGGATTTTACTAATTTTAGTTATTTATGGTCGTTTTAAAAAATTAAAAATATAACCCATAAGAAAAAATTTAATTTTTTATTATATATTTAATGTGATTGTTTAATTTATTTTAATAATTTAAAATTAAACAAAAAGAGAGAGGACACAAAAATATGTATTATCCATAATCATCAATTACATATATATGTTAATCATATTAGGTCATTCCGTATCTTTTATTTAAGGAAAGAAAATATATTTTTTTATACATAGCAGAGTTGGTCCCTTAAAAAAATGTCTATATATTATAGTCCTAAATACAAGAAATTAAATGTTACATTATTTCATTCCTAGCAAAGTTGGTCCATTAAAAAATTAAGTCTAAAAAGCTCTGTGAGCTTGACACGTAAGCATGCTCTCCAAGGTTGTGTATTTATAAATGCTTCAGGATTAATATATAGGGGACTATAAGAAAATAAAGTTCATTCAACACAATCTATTTTAGATGCGTTGACATATGTTTCCATATGTTGTACGTATGAATAACACTACGTCAAGAACAATCGAATAACATATGGACACAAATTGGTTTTAAAATTTTATGTACAATGATTATAGATATACATGGAATTGATATGGTGTTCTTGAATAAGATGATTAAACTTCTCACATAAAATCATTTTTTTGCATAACTGAAATAACAACGAGAAAAATACTCAAATGGATCCTTAATCAAATAACAACCAAGAACGTTTAGATGTCAATTGGACCTCAAATTCAAAACACAAATTCAAGACACAGTTAAATTTCTTTTTGTCCAAGGTACTTAGGAATTGAACCTTTTTGTTTGATTTTTAATGGCTTAAATGATAAGTCCATCCATAAAGAGCAGATCATTAATTAGTCTTCGAAGATGATGACCTCTGGGCTCTTTTAGCCAGGTACTTGTCAATGTCAGCGAAAATCTGCTCCACTTGGTACTTGGTTTTGTACACTTTCCCCTTTGGATCGTAATAGTACTGCACAAACGTATATGAAAATGAAATGTGTTTTATATACATACGGGGAAGACCTTCAGGCCATATGAAGTTAACAATGAGTGAGGAAAAGCAATTGCAAAGAACGTGTTGGATCTGCTTCAAGTAATAAACTATCTGCATCTGTATGCATGCACATATATATGTACACGAAGACTGGTAGTAACAAATAAACCAAACACTAATTACAATTTGTATTGAAGATTTAATTTCTCTTCCATCTATGTCACCTTTGTTGATTTAATTTCTCTCCATTCTCTTGATTTTTATTTTCTGAAACGTCAATTATTTTATAGATTATCTGAATTTCTCTCCACGGATTCAAACTTATATTGAATGAATTTATTGATTAAAAACAAAACCACTAAGTTTCATGACATATAGCTTTTTTTTGTTCCAGGGCACCTAAGAACACAAGGTTTTCCATCACAAAACACATAGTATTAGTTCTTAGAACCTGAATCTACTATGTACATTTGCCGAAGGAAGATTTGTTATACTAGAAATCAATCTATAGTTTAATTCCACATAACGATAAGAACCACTATCACTTTATCCGAAAAATGACATAACTTGTGTTTGTTTTATGGCACCTAAAAGCAAAAATGTTTTCTATCATAAAACACATAGTATTAGATCTTACTCTTGAATCTACAATGTTTTTTTTTTCTACTAGAAATCAATCTATAGCTTAGTTCCACATAACGAAAACATAAATTACTATCACTTCATCAAAGAGGATGTTAATTTGTCATCACATAAAATATAGATCCAAAGAATCAATTACCCGGTATAGACGGCCACTCAGCATGATGCGACGCTCCTCAACGAGCCAGCCATTGCGAACCCACTTGTATCGAGGACATGTGTTATCAAACACAACTGAGTAAGCACCATCAAATGTATTAAAAGGCCTTTTAAGTACTTTTTCTACAACTAGGTATGTCTTTTTCCCCTCACTAGACAATTGCACAAAGCTTTGCTCAAAGCTAATGACTTCAATTTTTCTGATTCTCTTTGGCCAGGCTCTAGAATTGCTACCTTCACCCATCTCCATAGATTCTCCTCTCTTTTTTCTCTCTTGTAATTTGTGTGCTTGATTTTATTACAATCACATCTCATCTTATCATAGACATTTGTTATTCTCTGATTGTTCCAATTCAAAAAATTATATCCTGAAATATGACATGTGTGTATTTAGTGCTTACAAGTAATAATATAAACGAGTGGGAAATATCTTGAATTTGGAGTCAAGTTTAGCATCTTAGTTTAAAAGGTAATAATATTAACAAATATTATTCATATTTATTTTGTGTTAGAAGGTAATATTGACTTGTATTTTTTTCTTTTAATAGGTCATACTGATATTGACCATAACATTACTATTATTATCAAAATATTTTGATAACATTTTTATAAATTAATATATATTATAAAGTAATAGAAAATCCTAGAAAAATATATGATCCTATTAAAATTATCAATTAAAAAACTTATATTTATATAGTCGTTGACTTTATTTTTAATTTCAGAGCAGGGGACGTTTAAGGGTTTTGGTAAAACTTAAGGGGAAGCCGAAGAAAAAGGTTTTAACGGCGCCGGAGGAGGGGAGATGAGTGGGGCGGGAGTGCCTGACTTCTTCTACAGAGAAGCTCAACGTCTTGGCTATGTCGCTCGTTCCGCTTTCAAGGTAAATTTACATTCATACCCTCCTCTGTTTCTTCTTCTTTTAATTCTTACTTATCTCTCTGTCTTCCTCCAACAGCTTCTACAGATTCAAAAGCAGTACAAGATCATCAAACCAGGATCCTCTGTTCTTGACCTAGGTTGTGCCCCTGGTGCTTGGCTTCAGGTTCTATCTTTTGACTTTAACTTGTTTTTGTCTGCGAACAGAGGAGTCTTTAACTTGAGTTCGTTGCTGTAGGTTGCTTGTCAAAGCTTAGGTCCGCTTAGAAGTGGTGGAAACGTCGTTGGTATGGATATAAAGGTCAGAGGAGACATAAGTTCTTGTCCTTCTTTGTGTAAAGTCGTTGACTTTATTTTTAATTTCAGAGCAGAAGGTGAAGGTTCCTCCACTTTGTGATGCTCGAGTGCAGACCATTAGCGCTGATGTTTTGAACTTCCCCAGACAAAAGATCAGAGAGTTATCTCCTCAGGTGAATGTTTTTAAGAAATTTTCTTGGATTGTTGATAATAAGCAGGGCCGGTCCTGGGCCAAGCCGGGTGAAACATTCGCCATTGGCCCCCAAATTTTTTACAAAAAGTTATATATGTACATAGGTCCCAAAAAAAAAATTTAAGCCCTGAATCCGGCAAAAAAAAAATTTTAGTTGAAATCGTTAAAATATCGCCTTAAGCCCCCGAAGAGAGCAGTGGTTCTGAATGTTTACTCACTCCTTGTTGTTCTTGATTACTCTGTTGTTGTGCAGCATATGGGGTTCTCAGTGGTTTTATCAGATATGTGTCACTCAGTAACTGGAATTAACAGTAGAGATGCAGCTCTCTCTGCTGAATTGGGAATGAGAGCCCTTGATTTGGCTGTTGGTCAAGCTGCCATTTCTAAGTCACTTGAGGATGATGATGATGGAGGTGATGAGGAGAGTCGTATTGGTGTGCTTAAGCATGGAGGCCATCTTGTCATCAAGCTTCTTGAAAGCGAGGATGCTCAAGGTATTGTAGGAACATAGTAGTCCAGCTTCTGTATGTACAAATGAAAGAAATGATTCCGCTTTGCTTACAGTGCACTGTTTTTTTTTTTTTTTGTATATAGATTTTGCACGAATTTGCAAGCCTATCTTTAGCAAGGCATCTTGGTTGAGGCCTAAAGCTACAAGACCATCATCTCGAGAAATCTACTTGATTTGCCAGGGGTTTCGTTCATGAAAAGAAGCCTTTCATATACAATGAAGAGTCAATGATAACACACTCTTTTTATGTAGTTTACAAAAGATCAGAAGAAATAATATATAGCAGCATGCAGATTTTGCTTGTTTGTGTTACATTGCAGCTTCTCTATCTGTCTCTGTGTATATAGATGTAACTGTTTTTGGATATGGGTTCTGCTAATGACCAGAGGCATGAGCTTTTTATGATCTTAAATTTGTAAACAAGTAGTGATCAACAAGGCCGTCTTAGCTCAGTGGTAGAGCGCGTGACTTTTAATCCCGTGGCCGTGGGTTCGATCCCCACAGACGGCGTAGTGCTCACTATTTTACATCAATTACCTTTTTCGTTTGATGAGGATGATGATTCTGAACTGAGGTTAACCAGGCAGAAGGTAAAGCTGGTCTTGTCTTAGCAGAGGCTTATCATGAAATTTTGATATTTGTTTTGGTAATAATAGAATGTGTGGTAAGTATGTTCATGTCTGATACGATTTTTGTAAACAACAGGACATGATGATGGTCTGGAGGTCGGTCTAAGCAAAGCAGAATCGAGAAAAAGAGTCGTAAAGCTAATGCTTAAGCTTGGGAGGAAACCCATCTGGTGTTAACCGTGTCTCTCTTCTACTCTTACTCTAATCTTTGTATCATGACTGTTTTCTTTTTGCTGCAACTTTCTAGTTTCTAATGATTGACTGCAAATGCAGATCTTGTTTGTGATATCGAAGCCTGATGTGTTCAAGAGTCCAGCATCATCAGATACTTATGTGATCTTCGGTGAGGTCAAGATTGATGATTTGAGCTCCCAGCTTCAAACACAGGCGGCAGAGCAGTTAAAGGCTCCAGGCCGCAGCAATGCGGTTTCCAGTGGAGAAACGTCCAATGGTGCAGCTGCAGCCGCTGCTGATCCGGATGAGTATGAAGAGGTGGACGAAGGAGGATGTGGAGCCAAAGGACATTGAGCTGGTGATGACCCAAGCAGGAGTGTCTAAGCCAAGAGCAGTTAAGGCTCTCAAGGCCGTCTGATGGAGATATTGTCTCTGCCATTATGGTGCTTAGTTGCTTACCATCTGAATCCGAAACGTTTTCTACTTAGATGTTGGTTCTCGTGATAGTTTCTTTACCTTTTAAAGTGACTTTATCATTATATAAACCATATGTTTGGACTCACTTTCATATTTCAGAGTTTTGTGTGGGTTGTTCTTATGAGTTTGCATTCGTCCTATCAAGAGAAATGTAAGTTGTCTCCAGCCATTTTCTTTATAGAGTGACCAAATGAAACTAATTCATAATGTTATACCATAAATGATAAATCCTCAATCCCAACTCTTTTGACCTTTATTTTTTAATCCTAAACAGATAGTACTATTTGTTTTTAATTTTAACAGATTCAATCTATTCTTATATGTTTTTTCTCTAAAATATTCCTTACTGGCTTGCTTACAGTTTACTACTGTCGCATTTATTGAACTGAATATTCCCTAAGCCCTATTGAACTTAACTTGTTTTAAATGGTTCTCTTAATTATTCCTTGCTGGCTTACTTACTGCTACATTTCTTGAACAAACTTGAAATGAGATTGAGGTTGTGACCAGCTAAGGAAGTAACAAAATGCTCAGTTTTACTTTTAAGTCACATCACATGCACGGCTTTAACAGTTCAAGAATCTCTAGATCATGTCTTCCATAACTCGTAAGAAGAATAAAGTAGAAACTTTCGCACATCATTTAGAAAGAAAAAAAAACTAAGTTGAAATCTTAAATGTCACGGTCTCTGCGGCACTCAGGAGGTGGCACAGGAAACCTAACACGGTCCGCACAATAGTTGTAAATAGTGTATCTCTGACGAACCCATTTGAGACGTTTGTACTGTTGAGCATCCAAGTCTTGAAACTCCTTCTGATCCCACCAACGTTTCCCTTGCGTCTCACAGAACTTAGCATTCACCGAAGCCTCACATCCATCAACATGAAAGCCTCTGTAAGATGCAACAAAAGGAGCCTTTGCCCAGTTGGTCTTCTCTAACCCTCCCCTTGTGGCCCAGTCATCTGCATTCCAAAGACTCGAGTAGATCTTCATCGGCTGGTTGAATGGAAACTTCACACCAATGTCTTTACTGTTCTTGAACACTCTTATCGGCACATCATCCACAAAGAACCTGTTGTTATAAGTATACACTTTAGCTTTGATATTATTGAGATGAAGCTACATTTTTGAGAAATGTTTGAGTACTTACACAATCTGATACATGTTCCAGAGAACTGAATAGGAATGATAGTCTTTGGAAGGGTCAAACCAGAGGTTTATCCTCTGCTCTCTGTTTCCTTTGCCTCCTGTGAACACATTTGTCTGTAAAATGTAAGGCTGACCGGTTCTGTTCCCTAGAAACTCAAAGTCTATCTCGTCATGTATTGAGCTTTGTGATGACAACTGCAGGAAAAAAAGGCAAAGATTAAACTTCTTTTTTTATTCAGTTGATAACTTAATGATGTGCACAAATAACTTACATAGAAGGCGGTCACAGTTCCAGCAGAGTCTCCAGGAACCATCTTTATGTGCATACTGAAGTGGCCAAACAAGTAGGAACCTTTGGACTGAAAGCCAGTGCCTTTTGTGCATTAAACAAGAACGATCAGAAAGGGCTTTAGATAAATCTTTTGTTAGAGAAATATAGATAAGAAGGTAAAGAAACTCACCAGTGTACTTGTCGAGGACGAGATGGACTTCAGAACCACCATTGAGATACTTAATGTGATCAAAAGCCCAAGTTGGGAAATAGTTTCTCCCAAAAGGAACATCAACAGCCTTTTTAGGAGGTACAGCAAATGTTACTGTGGCCATAACCAGAAAGGTGAGGCAAAGAGTAAGTGGAAGAGGACCCATTCTCACTCTCTTCACACCAAACAAACACTGCATGGACGTATCTATTTATAGCCATATCAGCTAGCTTTCTAGTCTTAAACATAATTAATAACTGGTTGTTATTATTATTATTATAAAATTCACAGCACTTCACAGCACATTTGGGTTATTTTCAATGTTTGCAGCAGTCTTGTTAGTAACTTAGGGAGTGTTGCAGATACACATGGACTGTCACTGACTAGTCTTATGCTGACATGATAATAAGGCTCTCATCCCCATGTTCTCGCTAATTAATGCATCTTTGGATTCTTTTTAAGCTTTAGATCTATGGGCTGAGCATAATAAACAAACACTATTTGACTGCAGATACCATGCACCGACCAGATTTGCTAATTAGCTTTGAGTTTAGACTCCAAAAACCGAACTGAAAATTGGGGAAATATCACACAATATGGTGAGAAACCACATAATAAACCAGTAGAGAGAGATTATGGGGAAAAAACAAACCAAAAAGGTTCAAGTTTCAATAATGGATACAGAGACATGGTCACATGACTAGAAAAGCATGTGCTATTCACCATATACTTCACTCCTCTTATCTATTTTTAAAATTAAAAACTTGGCCCCTGGTCATGTGATCAACTAGTTGTTTTCTTGGCTAATCAGATAATTTTAATTAAGCCGCAAGAATTACAAATTAGTCATAGATTCTGGCTACCTTTATTATCAACGAAACTGCATCAGAAATACTAACTAGATTATTCAAATGAAGAGAAAAAAGTTGGAGGAAAAAATGAGACGGTGTCGTTTTGGCATAGAACAGAAGAATGGGCCCTAAGTTAGTTATTGTACCGATAATGGGCCTTAATAAGCTTAGTGAGCTAGAAATATACGAGGCTGTGCTTAATGATTAAATAGACCATGAAACAATACATAACGGTCATTGTGGACCTGTGGTGTACGTAGTCAATATATGTGGTGGTCAACTATTTTACAAAACAACGACAAAGAAAACAACTTTATTCATTGTTCAAGAAACGTACATGTGTATACGTCCTGTTTTTCATTTCACTATGCTAATAAGCAATCTAAAAGGATCATTGCGTCCTTCACCCCTCAGAAAAAGAGAAGGGGCGTTATGTATATATATGTATATCACAAGATAAGAATCAGGCTGCTATGTCTTGAATATTCTCGAGAGAAAGCTGCTTCTGCAACCACATCTGCCGGTGGAACCTGGTAATGAAAAGATCAGCCACGTTGTCGATCTCATCTTCCAACCGAAACTCCTCTCCCTTGTCCTCCTTTGAGTGTTTCACCATGTCTATCACTGAACCCTCTGCCTCAAACAGCGAGTGTCTGAGGTCTGGATACTTTTCATCTTCTTCTTCTTCATCTTCCTCATCTATATATCGTACATATTGAGGAGAGGCAGCAGGAGGGCTAGACATGGCGTTGTGGCTATACACCACCACCATGTTAGTTTTATCTTTACTACCATCTTCAAGGTTTCTTGATGTTGGTTTGGACTTGAGCTTGTGAGACCACGAACTCACCATCATGTTTCTGTTATGGAGTAGCGAGAAGATTACAAGACGGGTCTTAAAGGCTCTTGTCTTCCTCTTTAGCTCCTTCGTCTTGTCTTTCGCAAGTCCAGCCAACATGTTTATTATATTCTTCACGAACTCTGCCGCCTTCTTCATTATATTTATAATATTTGCTTTTGGTTCCTATGTATTGTGTTGTTGGGTCTATGGAGAATGGAAAATGGAAGAGATGAAAGAAAAGGTTTAATTTATACTGTCAATAATGGTGCTGGCTAAGGAAAATCTATAAAGCTATAATGACACGTGGCAGTTCCTGTCTGGTTTAGAATTATCTCCATTCACAATCATCACGAGGACCACCTCCTCGTTCGGCTCAATTCACGTTTTCTTTTTACACTACTCCAATCTTGTATGAATATACTGTATTTTATTTCACAATCTTATCCTTTTAATGAAACTTTTTTTTTTTTTGTAACTTCCTTTTAATGAAACTTTTACAATCAGTAATGAGTAAAACGCTTAAAAGCTGAACAAGGTTTGGATTAAACGTTAAGGAAACAATGTGTAAACAGTGACAAATATTCACCCCTTGTTGTTTCTGTATGTATTAGTCAACCGTCTTGGCTTGTGACAAAAGTAAAAGAAAGAGGGAACCTCATAAATTAAGATACGTTTCCGTTGATTGAGGCCAAATGGCTTTACTTTTTTCTCTCTTTAATTTATATATCTTTTGTTGCCTTTTTGCTATTATCATATTCGCGACGCCTCACTTTTATGTTGTATAATGTTTGAAGTAAAAATCTTCAGACATGTTTGAATGTGTTCTGACCAAACATCAATAGCTTGCGTGAATGTGATATACTCATTATATGTCTCGGTGTTTCTAGAGTAGATATTAGTTAACAAAATAGAAGATTACTAGATGATAACCCGCACCATGCGCGGAATGAGCTTTTTAAAAATATGTTGTATTTAAATATATATTTTGCTATCAATATGGACATTTGGGTACTATTTGTTTCGGTTAAATTATGTTTGGTTTAGATCATTGCGGTTTGGTTTGAATTTTTACAGGTTCAGATTGGGTTTAAGTTCGCATAACCCATTTAATTTTTATAAAAAAGATTAAAATTCATATATACTTTAAGTTTTTCAAAACCTAAAAGTAGAAATAATATATAACATAAATTTAAAAAATGAATGACAAAATACTTAAAATTAACATAAAATTGATTTATCTTAAATATTTGGACAAAAAATCAATAAATATTTCAAATATTTTTGGTATTTAGAGGTTGATTGGCTATTTTAAAAATTTGCATTTAACTATTTTACATATTTCTAAGTATTTTAGAATTTTTTAAAACATCTCATGTGTTTTTTATATTCTTAGATGTTAAATTTGAAAATAATTAATATATTTAAGAATATAAATTTGGTTCGAGTACACTCGGATACCCGAAATTTTTCGATTCAGTTTTGATTATCTAGATACCAAAATTCCGAATTCGCTTCGATATCTAACCAATTTTGCTTAAAAATTTGTATTCATTTTTGGGTTAGATTTTGTTCGGTTATTTGGATTTAGTTTCTTTTGTCCAACCATATATTTTTTTTATTATACCAAAAATTAAAACGAAATGGATGATGGTTCATATTGATTTTGGGTATGCAAAAATTTTAAACAAAACACACTCTATTATGGGTGATCTATTTAGTTAATCATTATGAACTATTTAAGACCCATTAGAAAAACGATTGGCTGAACTAAAATCGTTACCATTGATCACAAAATTTCAGTGTGAGATTTTCACCATCTTAAGTAATTTATGGTCGTTTTAAAAAAATTAAATATAACGTATAAGAACATATATAAATTTTTTTATTATATAATTAATGTGATTTTTTAATTTCTTTTAATAATATAAATTAAATAAAAAATAAAGAGTATAAAAAATTGTTATCAAATATTTATTATTCATAAACATTAATTATGATATATATGTTAATCATATTAGGTAATTCCGTAGCTTTTATTTAAGGAAAGAATAAAAAATATTCTTTTGTACACTACTAATTAAATATGATAGTTGGTATAAGTATGTTTAGTTGGACCAACATATTTCTCTAAGAGTTATGAAAATCATTCTCATTGTGACACGTGGCTACCAAAAAAATGTTGTAATGCTCCAACATATAGGAGATTTAAATTATTAATCAAAAATATTATAATTGAAATTTTTCAATGCTTTATTAATTTATAGTCGTTTGTAAAAAATTTAAATATAACATATGTAAAAATCTAATTTTTTGTTATATAGTTAATGTTATTGTTTAATTTATTTTTATAATTAAATTTAACAAAAATAGTAGATGCTATAATTTTTTTTATCAAATCTTCATATTCAAATTATTAATTGTCATATATATATTGTAACCATATTAGGTAGTTTCGTAAATTTTATTTAAGGAAATAATGAATAGCATTAATAATAGTTTTATGTTTAGGCTAATAAAAAGTATATTATATGTTTATATGGACCAACATTTTTCTCTAGTAAATTTGAGAAGCATTCTCATGCTGACACGTGGCTACCAAAGAATATTGTAATGCTTCTCAAATAATATATAGGGGATGTGATCTACGGAAACAATATATCAAGACAAGTGTATTGTAGCTTTTAGCTTTAAAACAAGAAGTGAAAAACAAAATAATACATAAATATTCGCACCCACCATAAGGTTACTTTTTGGCCGTTTCAAAGCTCTTGTTTGATTGTTCTATCCTCTCTTTTTTTCCATGACTTAACCACTAAGATTTCACCACTCCTCTTCCCACACGTACTTCTAAGATTACATGACATCTATGACTGGGCCTATAACAAATAGTACATTTTACATGACATATCTCTATGTTTGGGCCTATGGTTGGACCTGTAATAGCAAATGACTCGAGTGTGATAGCATCAGTTTTGGTACTTTGCTTGATTAAACCAAAAGAGACCAAGTTGTACGCACACAATGATCAACTGTTATTTATGCACAGAAGCGACGCTAACAAGATATGCTGTTTGGGACAGATTAATGTCAGTATGCTTTCAAATGCAAGCTCTCTCTCTTTGTTTAGTGAGTTAACAACCAATCGTCATCTACCTCAACAACTGAATCATATCTCCTGTTGGCGTCAAAACATGCATCTTTTCTACATTATTATTCTACAAGCTTAAAAGAGCACAACAGTACGTTACATAAAAATTGCAATAGAACTCTGTAACCATTTCAAACTGAAACATTTATTTGTTGTCTGGTTAACGCAAACCCAGCTACAGGTGAAAGATAAAGAAGATAATATGGATGAAGATAAAACTCTTGAGCCAAAACGTGAAAGAGCATTGCTTAGGCAGTCCCACGTCTAAGGCCCAAAAGGTAGAGAAAGCATACTTTGGTTCCTCTTGTTTTGCCCTCGTTGACATGAGACTGCCTAAGCTAATCGGTGTGTTCTTTTGACACCTTCTTGTATCACACTCGCTGTCTTTTACCTTTGCTTTAACCAAAAAGAACAAACAAATTCAAATAATGGAAACAGCATTTCAAAAACCAGATGGAACATCAGCCACAGACAAGATCATCAATGTCTTAAAACAAAGGAGGTCACTTGCAATACTATCTGTACTCAAACAAAGAATATACCATAACTTTGTTGAGCATGTCTATCATATCCAAGTCATAACATGATTAAACATCATACTAAACAAAAAAAAGTAGCAACAAGTTCCTTCCAAAAAAGTGAAAACAAGAGATCCAATAAGCAAAAGAGAAACACATTCAAGCCTGAGTTCCACTCAAAGACTTCATCTGAATATGATTATTAGAATCACTAGAAGAATTATTCGGTAACGCCTCATAAGAGCCACTCCTCCTCACTCCAGCCGCCATCACCACCATCGTATAAACCACAAAAAGCAAAACAACAACAATCACAACATGAACAGTAAACATAAGATCCAAAACCGAGACAGCTCTCAACTTCGACTCCTGAATATCACACTGCGTCGAACCTTCCACACCACCCGAAACATCAAGAAGACGATGACACCCTTCAGGTATAAACCCATCCACATACAAAGACAACCCCGTCTGAAGCTGCCACAAACCCTGAAGACAGATAGAAGCAGCTAACGCAGCGTCAGCTATAAAGAGCCTAGGCCTACACGCAAGAAGCAAGCAGAGGAGAGAGCACAAGGCGGAGATACGAGCTGAAAGAGAATCACAATGAGCTTGGAGATCAGAGGTCTGTATCGAGGCGGAAGCCGACGCGGCGGAGTAGTGAAGGAAGAAGCCACCGGAGGCGAGAGCGAAGAGGAGATCGGAGGGGAGAGGGATGAGGGAGGCGGATTCGGAGAGGAGGAGGTAGACGGCGATGAGGAGGAAGAGGAAGAAGACGGCGGCGGAGTTGAGGGAGGAGAAACGGTGGACGGGGGTGCTTCCTTTGACGAGAGGGTCGGAGTAGAATGAGATTAGGGTTTGGTGGAGGAAAGCGACGAAGAGGGAGATGATGAGGATGATCAAGGGGAGTTTCTGGAGACGGTTGTCGTTGTGACCGGAGAAGCGTGGTAAGGGGTAGAAAGGCTTGGCGGCGTAGGATTGTGGAGACTTGATGACGTGGAAGAATGTGCAGATGAGATGGTATAATCCTAGGGTTAGTAGAGAAGCCGATGCGAAGAGTTTGTATAACATTCCTCCCATTTTTGGATGGAGATGGTGGTGGTGGATCGGAGTTTTTTTTTTTTTTTTAGGTGATCGCTATAGACAGAACAGAGTCGGAGAGAGAGTTTAGTTTTGGTCGGATTTGTTGTCTGATCCGTATTAGAGAGGAGTAGAAGGGGATCTGGTCAACTACTCTAAACCGGATGAGGTTTATCGGTTATTGGATTATAAATATACCATTTAAACCGGTTTAGTTCTTTGATTTTGACTTTACGGTTTACCAATAGAGTCCTTCACACGTTTTTTTTTGTTTTTTTTTGAACTTTTGGAGTTACAAATGTGGAGAGGAATATGGAATAAATGAGATTAGGGTTTGGTGGAGCTTGATTTGTTGCAGAGTAAGTATGGTTTTAGAAATTAGATTATACTCCCTTTGTTCCTAAAGGATCCATGTTCTGAAAAAATATTTTGTTTCAAAAAGATGTATATTCTACGTTTTCTATGAGAAAATTACAAGTTTCAAAAAAATTAATTGGTTTGATTGGATTACTATTGGCTAAATGTTCTTGAAAATTGAAAATTACTAAAAACGATAGTGATTTAATGTGTTTTCTTAATACGTGTGAAAACACTAGAAAATCTATCTTTTAAGAACAGAGAGAGTATACTATTAATGAGGAATAAATGATAAAATGGTACATTAATGTGTAGATGACGAACAATAATCATAACTCATAAGCATTGTTCATGCAAATAAAAAGAATGAACAGTTTGCTATATAACAATGAGAGATTCAGTTTATTTGAAGGATAAATGATAAAAGAGTTGCTGCAAAAGCTAATGATGTCATCCAATAGGACTGAGAAAAGATGTTGCCAGTGGAGGAGCTTCGGTCCGAGTTAGTAGATCCTCGAGATCCTGCATAACACATAAGATTGAGACAGAAAAATAAATATACTGCGTGTTCCCAAGCATGCGTTTATATCTTGGTTGGTTATGAGAGATAGAATGACAACACGTGATAAAATGATCAATTGGGGTATCAACGTTCCCCCTACATGCTTGCTATGCGGAACCGTAAATGAGTCAACATCTCACCTCTTCTTTGAATGTGCTTACTCCTCAGAAGTCATCGCTAAGTTATTTGATCATAGCAGGTTACAGGTTCCATTTCGCTATCAGCTAGCTGTTGATTGGCTTCTCTCTTCTCCTGTCAATGGTAAGCTGAAGACCATTGTAAACCTCCTTTTCCAAGCAGCGATCTACTTTATTTGGAGAGAAAGGAACAACAGATTTCATTCTCAGAGTTTTAGGCCTGCTGCAATGGTGGTCCGAGACATTTTTCTCCTTCTTCGCGCAAAGCTCTATGCTCTTGACAAGGAGTTAGCCTTGACAGCTACAAACCACACGCCTTCTCCATCCTTCCTCTCAATATGGTTTGAAAAGATTCAGGGATAAAGTTTTCATGAGCTTGTCCTACATGAGTTTGCTTCACATGAGTTTCTAGTTTCTTTTCATTTTCCATCTTCTTCAAATATGTTCTAAATGATGACATTGTAAACATTCCTATTTTAAATCAGAAATGGTACTTTGCAGTAAAAAAAAAAAAAAAAAAAAAAAAAAA